TCTATGTCTAAGAAAACTGCTATTACATATTCTTTTTTCATGAAACCTTCTATTTTGGAAGTACATTAAATTTTCATTAATGCCTCTACCTTTACGAAAACCGTTTTGTAAGTCATTAAATGTTTTCTTTTTTTCCAATGAATGTTCCATTCTGTTTTTCAAAATATGTTCAAGTATTTTTAATAAACATGAGGAAAGAGATATTAATCTATAATTTTTTACAACATTGGGTAGTTTACCTGGTTTAAGTATTGGACATACAATGTATCTTTTCCATTCCTCTGGAATAGGATTACCTTCAATAATTTGATTATAAATTGCAATTAGGTTAAGTTTTAAGTTATGGTGTAAATTTTTTATTTGACTGTATTTTATTCCATCCTCACCTGGTACTGAGTCTTTTTTGTTGTCTAAAACTGCTTTAAATTTCAAATAGGATATAGGTATTTTCTCCTGATTTGGGATTATGTGAATCACTGATTGAGATTCTAAAGAAATTGACGTTATTGATTCTAAAATTTATCTAAATTATCTTTTATAAACCAATTTTGTTTTTGAACGGGAACTAAGCGATTTTTGAATATTTTTATTTTATTCCAGACTACTTTTGTATTAGATTCTCTATTTAATGTGGCGCAAAAATTCCTAAAGGATTTTTTCTTTATTTCTTTTAAGGTCCTGTTGGTGATGGCTTCATGTTAATGTAATTAGTTTCTGACGGATTATTAAGATAATTTCGTATGCTTGTTTTTCTTAATTCTGTTGTTAGCGAGCACTCATTGTCCCACCACACAACTGGAGTTTTTTGTTTTTTTAAAGTAAATTGAGTTTTAGGGATTGACTTTTCAGATGTTTTGTATATGATGTTTGTTAGATCATTGTATGTTTGTGGTATTGACTCATTGTATAATTCTAAGGATGTTTCAAAAAAAATTTCCCAATTTGATTTTTTGAAGTTAAATCTGGGTTTATTAAATTTGCTACTAATTACATTGATATTATAATGAAAATTTGTGGTTGAAATTATGTCTATTTTGATAGGAAAGTGATCGCTCGGCCCTGAACATTCTTTTAAAACTGACCAATTTGCTGTTAAATTTAAAGTTGCATTGCAGAAAGAGAGACCAGTAACACTTTTTTTTGTCCTGGTAAACTGATTCTAGTAGCTGATCCATCATTCAGACAGTTAAAATTATTACCTGTCATGGAGTCATATAAAATGTTCCCATTATGATCGTTTTTAGGATTGCCCCATGTTGTGTTTTTTGAGTTGAAGTCCCCACAAATTAATACTGACTTATATTTATAGCTTACGTTACATAGTTCCTTAATGAAGGATTTGTTGATTTTTACCCCTGGAGAATTGTATATGTTAATTATAGCTACATCATTTATTACTATTCCTAAACATGAGGTTCTAAATGGTTTATTGATTGGGTTTATTTCAATTTTTTTGCTATCTAAATGTTTTTTGACAAGTATTGCTATACCGTTGTTACGGTCGTCTTCAGCAATGTTATACAATATATATTTACTTAATCTAAATTGGTCATTGATTTTCAAGTATGTTTCCTGAAGTAAGATTACACCAGGCTCTTCCTGATGGATTATTATTTGTAAAGTTGGGTTGTTAGCATTTATACTTCTAATGTTCCACTGAATTACCTTTAAGACCCTGAATGGAATGTTTTTCAAACAGGTGGAGGAGCAGATGATTGTTAATTTTTTTGAGATACTAATATGATGTGAGAGTTGATGAAGTGGCAGATTTGTTTTTCACCTCATAAACATACTCATCATCATTATTTTCATTTGGATTATTTAAACGGATTGGAGAGTTTTGTGGGGATATTCCCCTTTTAGTTAAAATGTTTAAGATTGTTTGTGACAAAATTAATTAATTCGTTCGTATCCATGTCTTCGTTTAATAAATAGTCAGAAAATGTCATTTCAATTATAGATTTAGGTGTTTGTACTACTGAGTTGTAAGTTGGGATAGGTGAAATTGGCATTCTTGCCGAGTTGGGAAGAAGGCATTCCTTGTGTGCGTTTTGATCATAACCTATTGGAGGAGTTTTGGGAAGTTTACGCTTTTTATTGACAATTTCATTATATGATATGTTCTTACTTGGAATTCTGGGCAATGATCGGATGTTCTCTGTGACTTCTTCATAATTTATTTCCTTCCTGGGAAGGGGAGGGAAATGAGATAGATTGTTCTGAAGTACTTTTTGTCTTGGACTTAAATCTTGTCTTCCTTGCATTTGAGTGTTTATTCTAGGCACTTGTTGAGATGCTTCAAAATATGATAAATTGTTCAAGCTCATTATTTCAGCTATTCTTTTTTGTCTTAATATTTCCGGGCATGATTTATTATTATTCCAATCTGAAATTGAGTGATTGTTATTACAATATATACATTTATTTTTTTTCCAAATTACATGAATGATTGAAAGGTGAAAACGTACCTGTTGGAATGTAGTTAACTATTTGATTCTCTGTAACTCTTCTATTTACTCTCCTAGCCGCTACTACCTGAGTGTGTTTGTTCTCTTCGTTTATTACTTTTATGATTTCTTCTTCTGAGAAGTTGCCAACTCCTTTGCATGTTACTAAATTTGCCGGAATAAATACCTGATATTCGCTGTTTAACCATTCCGTATTACAAAATTCATTAGCTTCTTTGTAATTGTTAAATGTAATCATAACTCTATTTCTTCCTTTTTTCTCTATTTTGTTTATTCATTTTATTTTTTTATTGAAGAGTAATTTACCTAGCTCCACTGGATGCAGGTTTCCCAGATTTTTTTCATTATTTTGGATTATCACTTTATATGGGCCAATGTCACATTGATCGTATTTTATTTTCCTCAATATTTGTGAGTTTGTGTCCGTATCCATCTTGTTCTGTTCTAGATTTTGGTTTGATGGCGGTCCTGGACCCCCTTCGCCCGGCGGTTTCGGACATGTTCCTAGTTCTACTAGTTGTGTGTAGTTTTTGCTAAAATGTATTGCTCACTGTATTTCCTATGGTTTTTGATCTTCAATCCCTTTGGATTTATTGATTTTGGTCTGCTGATGGTTTGAATTCGCTTGGCTTTATGCAATTTGTCACGTTCGGTTCAAGCCTAGATTAATCCATCTTCTTCTTACAAATCAGATATTATTCATTAATTTTTGGCCTTTTACAACATAACCTGTTTAGCAACTTTTTGTGTAACATGTATACCATGTTTCAGAAACATTTTCAGTGAAATATTTAACTAAAAGATTTCAGAAATATTTCAGCAACTTGTGCTTGAAATGTTATATTTTTGAAACGTTTGAAATATTTCTGAAATAATATGTGCTGTATGGGGAGGGGAAAGGTTTTACTATGCTTTTTGCGTCAAAAGGTGTCCCCTTGACAAACAAACTTGACGGATTTTTTAATTTCGCCGGAAAGTTGTTTTCCACCCTGTAATTGCCTTGCGGTACGTTTTCTATGGGCCACCCTGTATATGGTGGTTGAAAAATTAAGGATGATAATACTAAAATAATGTTATTGACAACACCATAATAAGCAGAAGAGCATATTCAACACTTAAGGACAACAAATAATTAAAATACTTCTATTAAATCAGTTTTTTTATTCTAACAAATATATATCTCTTTTATAAAAAACTACCCCATCCCTCTTTTAACAAATTAAATTTTACATAAACCCTTGTATATTCCCAATGGTTGGATCAGAACCTTTGGGTAGTACAAAATTAAGATCAGAACACTCTGTAAAACAAAAACATTTTTTTTTAACTAATCGAAAAACCTAATTAATGCTAGATTAGGCAATCCAATGTCCTGTCAGAATGGACAAAAATGGGCGATGCTTGGCAAAAACAACAAATTTTAACCTGCCTTCTTCATTAGTATTTGATTGTTATTGTAAATCATACAATTTAGTATTCATATATTCAAAATTAATAATAAATTATGCCATGTTTAAATTAAATACAAAAAAAACTTGCAAACACTTCAGGGCCTCCGAGAGTTACGTGGGGCCCTAGGACAACAAGAGTCCTCAAGCAAAAAATCAGAACTTTAGTGAAATCTAAAAAAAGTCCTTACCTTGTATTTTGGTCCTCTTTTGTGGCGAACTTCTAAAAAATTAAATGTCCTCACCTAAAGCTGCTATGCCCCCCTTGTGCCCGGATCCCGGGAATTTGTCCTACCTGCCCCCCTCTCGTAGGGCCTGAAAGAGACTAATACCTCACTATAAGTTGACATGTGGGCTGAGCCCTCAAACCCTCTTTTGACCAGGAGGAGGTTTTCGTAGAATATTATAATAGATGAACCGTGCATAATTTTCAGTCAATGGTCTGCTTTGAACTGATAAACTAAAACATTCGCCTATTCCTTGGCTCCTTATCTATTATTGACAATCTTCAGACCGCAATCCGACACTCATTTTAGGCTGATGTGCACGTGATTACAGCATCTCTTCAGCGTGGCGAGTATAGAAGTATTTTTGTCAAAGGTTGTTGTTTTTGCCAAGGGTCCACCATTTAAAGTCATTAGATTTGGATTGCCTAATTCATTGTCATAAAATTCTACAAAAATCCTTATATCATTCCCAATAGCTGTATCAGCACCCTTGGGACAAAATAAACTAAAATTAATTTTATACAGTGTGTCTACTTAAATCGGTGCCATATGTGAAACTTTTTATTAGTTTTATGCAAAAAAGTTCTGGGTTGTTAAAAACTATCAGATATCAAATTTTTTCAGTCATGTATATAAGGTTTGTCAAAAACTATTAATTTTATGCAAGAATAAAGTACCTTTATTTTCAACAATATCAAAAACCGTTAAGAATTGAACACTAGGGTCAGGTATCCAATACCTACTATCCATCTACTATATATTATACTTTTTATGAAGAATAACTTCTTTTCATAAAATTATTAATCAAAAAGTTTCCCATATGATTCCGACATAAGTAGACACAATGTACAAAAAAACTACCCTCCTTTCTTTTTAACAAATCGAACAACATATTTAGGACAAAATTCATTGTCATTAAATTTTACAATAACCCTCGTACCTTTTCCAATTGTGGTATCAGCACCTTTGGGTGGTAATACAAAATTAGGATTACCTGGTGCAACGGTTTTAATAAGAACATCAGCCACAATAATAACTCCTTTTAATTTTTTTTTATCACAGAACATGGAAGAATAAGTTGGTTTATCAGAGAAATTTACCCCTTTTCCAAATTTATATCCTGTTTCAAATCCACTATATCTCCAATTGAAATTAAAAGTACAAATACTATCAACATACTTTTCTTTGGTTCCGTGATACAGTAATAAAGGAGTTATGTCATTATAATGACATATTCTTTTTAATTCAAATGATTGTTTGATATAAGGGTTTACTACAGCTTTTGCGGATTCTATTAGCAGCTTTTCTTTTAAAAATACTTTTTCAAGTTCCATAAATTCTCTTGATGTTGGAAGTATATTTCGATAAGAAAGAACTTTACTAACAGATTCACAATTTTGACCATTACCCATTAGAACAGTCTGAACCACATTGATTTTCATTATAGTTGGATCATCTACTATCAACATATTACCATTTTGGATTTTCTTTTTAATGGATAACTTATTAAATTTATCCGTTATGTCTGACTCCATTATAATAGGGTGTTATTGTGAAAGTTCAAAATAGGTATACCTGCAAAACAGAACTATTTTTTAAAAACTATGATACATTTATTAAAACAATGGCCCCCTAAACAGAGATATTATTTGGAATTTTTTGTAGCCACAAGTAACAGTACATAAGTAATGGATTGTGTAAATTGTTTTCTCGGGTATTATTATGGTGTTCTGGTGGAGCTATGCATTATAATGCAATCTGTGCACAATTTTAATGAAAAATGATGTTGGATAAAAGTAATTTCCCGACATGCATTTCAAAATAAATTTACAGAAACTACTTTAAATACATCTAAAAGCAATAGATGCAAAGAAGGGAAGGTTGCAGCTCGATATGATGATTTATTTATTGTTACAAATTATTAACTTTGTCTTATTTGTATTATTAAATTTTATCTACAAATAAATTGTATTATTATATAACTAAAAGATTACTAATGATAAAAAAATTTGTTCCAGTGAAGAACTTAAATCAAGTTGTTGATACATTCTCTGTATTTTTATTTTCAATATCAACTTTGGTTATCGTTCTTTCGTCTTAAGAGAATAAATTGCCTTTAGAACAATTTCCTTATCAGCGTTTGGTTCAATTACAATAATATATGAAATTTAGGTATATTTTGAATGTTTTACAAGGGCCCAACTTCAGACTTTTGGATATCTTTATATTTAAAATAAAATAGGTTTGGTTTATTTGTATTACCTTCATGTATTAGGATCTAGTATGACAAACATAAGGGTACTACTTGCAGGGGGCCCTTAAAATTTATTTAGATTGTAATTATTATTACAACCATCATTTTAAAATTATTTTATTACTAACAATTACCTCCTACACTATTACATTACCACATCTATAATACACGTATATATAATATTATTTATTAATTCATTTATATTAATTAGTAATCAGCTTTAATTATTGTTTGAGAAATAGAAATAACTACGAACTAGACAGTGTTGCCAACTGAATTCGTCGAAAATTCCCAATTTTTATGTGGAAAAATCCCTAGAATTCCCTAGATCAAAATCACATTGAATATTTAAACTTAGATGTACCCACATACGTTAAAATCAAAATACAGTATTTTAGGAATTATGTTTATTATATGAAAAAGTTACGAAAAAACGTTTTAGCAACTATATCTATCATAAATACTTATATAAAATAAATAACTAATCTAATTGTAAGAGTATATAACAAAATGTATTTAACAAAAATAAGTTTCTGAACCCAAAAAGTATTGAATTTGAAAATTAATCATTTTTTTTGTAAAGTTTTTCCTTTTTCATTAGATTAAAATGATTTTCATTTACTGAAAAATGTGTGCAGCAACTTTCATTAGAAAGACGTATTGAACACACAGCATTTAATGCCTCACTGGATATTTTATTTCGCTTTTTATTTTTAACGTCGGTAACGACTGAAAATATCCTTTCAGTCTCAGCATTACTGTGGGGCAACGTCATGCAAAGAGATGCTAAATAGCAGAGATTTTTAAATTCAAATTTATCTTCAAAATTTCGTACTTGCCTCAACGACCACCAAAAGTCTTCAATTGTTTTTTCCATGAAACGCTTTTTTTCTAATTCATTATCAAAATAATGTAAAAGGCTATTCCATTCTATATCCACCTCCATTTTGTCGAAATCTTCAATTTCATTGAAATTATCATAGACATGTTTGAGTGTTTTTAAATGTTCAGGTCTATCTAAGAGTGCAACATCTGGCTTCAAAAAACGTAAACTATCAAAAAATGTATTGTCAAGCGGAAAACGGTTTTGTAACTCAACAGACGCTGCTATTAAAAATTGTAAACATGACTTCCAAATGTGGTTCTTTATGTCTGGAGGTAAACCTGACACAAACTCATTACATTCTGTTCCTAAATTGATTGACTCTAAATGTAAAAAATTACCAGGATGTTGTAAGTTTATTTTAAAATCAGTTACTAGGTGAGGTTGAATGAAGTGAGACAAAATATCTTTATATAATTTGCGACATTCAAAAGATAAGTCATGCACTAAAAGTTTTTTGCTTTGAAAAAGCGCATTAAAAGTGTTAAAATATCGTAAAATGTACTTTAAAAATAATAAAATAGCTTTTGTGCAGGTATTATTTAATTCATCAAAAATAAAGTCTACTGTTTTAGAGTTTTCTTCAGTTTTTAAGAGTCTAAAATAATTTAAAAGCACCTGCCAATTTTCTACTACTCTTTGCACAGCATGCTGCATGCTCAACCATCTTGTACCAGAAAGTTTTAGCATTTTAAGCTGTGACATTTTGAAATATTCTTGCATTTCTCTCAGTTCTGCAGTTCTTTTGGCCGACATTGAAAAAAAACTAGCTACACTTTTAATGAACTCTTCTGGAGTTCTTGGCAATTTTAGGCATGCCTTATTTGCCACTAACGCTGCAGAATGACAAATGCAAGGAATAACAATTAATGCGCGAGTTTCATCTTTTAATCGGGTCATGAAGCTATTATTTTTGCCTAACATAACATTTGCGTTATCCGAGGCTAAGCCTATGATATTATTGACAGGAATATTTTTTTTATTTAAACATATTTTAAAAGCATTGTATAAATGATCAGCGTCGCAATTTTTACCATCAACTGTAATTAGTTCTAATAATCTGGTTACACATTTTCCAGTATGTTTATCTACATATTTAGCTAGAACACATAACAATTTATTGACAGAAATATCCGTACTCTCATCTATAAGTATGCTAAAGTATTGATTCCTGAGTATTTCGATTAAACCTTGAGATTGTTCTTCAGCTATTACATTTTTAATTACATTTGTCGTTTTTGTGCGGCCCAAATTACAATCCCTTAAAATATCTGAGTCAGGAAAGCATTCTTTTAAAACTGGAACCAAATGATCAATGATTTGAAAACTAACGTTATGGTGTGCTAAAAAATTGGCCATTTTTACTTCTGCTGTAGCAACCTTTTTACAATGAACTGTGTTTTTTGAAAAAAAAGTTGCCACTGATGGGATATTTTGTTTCATGTTCACCCTTTCCACGTGTTTTTTTGTTGCCCTATGTTTTTCCAAATCGGATTTTCCACATTTTAATATTACATTGCAGGCCATACAACGACACTTAAATTTATCTGTTGGATGTTCTGCTAGCCATCCTGCAAAATGAGGCAATCCTAACCATTCGGATTTAAATTTTTGTTCATATATTTTTTGTTTTGATGCTTCATGCCTCGTTTTGAGTTTTTTTATAGGAGTACTTGGACCCGCCCTTTAATAAAAAATATTACTTAATAAAACAAATCAATGAAAATAATATTCTCACTTTGATAAGAGCATACCTATATAATAAAATAATTAAATATTGTAACTTACTCATTATCAGAATCTGGATTCATGTTTTTTAATGTCTTTTCCCACCAAATTATAATTTCACCACAAAGTGTCTTTTAAAATATAAATTCAAATGAACTTTCTATAGTAACCTTTCTATAGTAACTAACTAACAAACGCATACATACACAAGTATCGTAAACGAAATCTAACTAACGACTAAAGTCTAAAGACTCTAAAGTTACAAAATCCCACGCACTGCGTCGAGCCCGCTGTTCGGTAATTCCCTGAACGAGAATTATATTAGGCCTGGACTACACTTGTAGATACCAATATTAAATCTTAACCCAGGGTGCAAGGTTAATAGGTTTTCTCATCAAGGCGTTATAATATTAAAATTTGGTAAAATTATATTAATTAAACTAAAAAAAGTGCCATTAGTTCGAAGAATTTGAAAATTCCCTAGATATTAGGTAAAATTCCCTTTTTCCCTATTGCACAAAAAATCCCTAGAACTAGGGAAAAATTCCCTAGGTTGGCATCACTGGAACTAGATACTACAGGCCCAGTATAAAGAATAATACAGTAGCGACAGATCATTTTTTATGAGGTGTCCATATTTTTCTGCGCATGTCCGAAAATAAGCGACAAAAACGTCAACGTCAATAGTGTCAATGCGATGTAAATATGACATTATTTTTGTTTGTTTGCAGTGTATATTTTGAGACATTTTTATTATTTTAGTTTTTCATTTATTGTGTGATATTTTTGAAATGGCTTCTGCACCTGATCAGAAAAAAAGAGATGTGTCTATCGCCCTTGTCCATCTCAAACAGAGTAAACAGACAAAGGGACAAGTTATTTTGCATTTCCCATGGAGCCATAAAGGTATGTCTTGAGAAAATACTTTCAATTTTTATATTTGAAAACCAAATATTTATTTGACAACCAAATATTTATTATTTAAATGTCTTGAGGACAATTTTTACAATTTCAACAAAAATAATGTAAAAAATATATAATTTCTGAACTACCGTCAATCTAAACATTTGTTATCAACTTTTTTATATTTTAGGGCCAACATGTGGTTAAGAGCTTGTAATAGGGAAGATTTGAGTAACATAGATGTGAACAGTCTTCATCGGAATTACAGGTTGTGTGAGAAACATTTTGAGAAGAATTTTTTTTCTAAAACGTTGAACCGTAAACGTTTATTGCCTACTGCTGTTCCCACATTTTTTATCCATCTAGGTCATCAGCCAAATGTCTCTCTTCTCCCTAGTACATCGACCAAGTGCTTCCTCTGTTGAGACTATCATTGAACATGAACGAGACATTTTTGAAAGCGTACCATGTGCAACCTTTGGACATTCTTAATCAAAAATCCTACCTCCAAATTATTATAATGAATTAGATGTTCTTTGATTCACTATGTCCATTGATTAAAAATGTTCTGATTGACTACATCTAATCAAAATATATATGTATTTCTTGTAAAGTAGCAAAAAGAAAACAAAAAAATGTATTTTGTGGTGTTATTATTTTAACTGTTTTTTAATTTTTGATTTGTTTCATTTATACAATATTTAAGCACTTAAACAATAATATATAATCTTATAAACAGTTGTATGATATATACGTTAGGGAAATTAGGACAAGGATGATTAAATTCTATTTCTTTCATAATATCAAAAAAAGCTATGGGATATACCAGACATTACACAGGTATTGCTAAAAATAGATATAACATTTTTTTGTAATTTAAATATATAGATAATAAACTTTTCATTTGGAGTTTTTAGGCCTCCATAAGTGCTTTATTTGCAATCATATGTTAAAATCTGTGAACTATCCAAATCTTCACATTCTTTTGAAAATTTAATAAATGTATCACATCCATGTATGCCTAAAGCTTTTGTGATCAAATAGCCACAAACATATTTAAATGGATTTTGAACTATTATATCTTGTCCTGTAGCTGTAATTAGGAAGAAAAACAGCTTCTTGAGTGTTTTTATTTATTTCAGGATACAGAGAGACAATATTTTTTACATCTAATTGTAGCAAGTGCTTGTCCAGGTCTTCATTACAATTCATGGAATTGCAATGAAGATAATTTTGACAAAAACGTTTTTTAAATCCCTTTCGAATTGTACAGGTGTTGGATTAACTAAATTCCCACCCTGTTGCCTAATGGACCCAACAAATTTTTCTAGACAGTCACTGTTGATTCTTCTAGCCATTAAATATTTAAATCCCGCAGCAGATAACCATTCCCATACAAATTTTAAACCATAAAATCGTTAAATATAAACATCTAATTTTTATGATGTGACGTTAATAGTATTTAATTATATACATAGGTAATATAAGCAATTGGGCAGCATTTTGCTTAACGCGTGACTTACAACAGGCATTTGCTAAAACTAATCTGAAGTCAAAAATTTGTACGTAGGAACAAAAATTGAAATAAAATAATTCTTGTATTGTAAATTCATTAAAAACTTACTAATTTGTAATTGTGTGTTTTAATAAATATTATTGTTATATGTTGTTTCACTTCTAAAAAGATACCTACATAACCTCATTTTAAATAAAAAAATAAGGTGCTGAGTTAATTTATTAGTTCCAGGAA